AATATAGTTACTTATAACTCATTAATTAATGGCCTCTGCAAAGAAAGAAGGCTGGATGAAGCAAATAAATTGTTAGAGTTGATGATTGAGAGAGGTCAACATTCTGATGCCATTACTTATAATACATTAATTGAAGGCCTTTGCAAAGCAGGAAGGCTGGAAGGAGCAAATGAACTAATAAACTTAATGATACAAAGAGCTCAGAATCCTGATATAGTCACACTTATAACACATTGGCGAATGCACTTTGCATTGAGCGGAGGATGGAGGAAGCAAATGAATTGTTAGAGTTAATGGTTCAGATGAGAGAGGTCAATATCCTGATACAGTTATTTATAATACATTAATGGGTGGGCTGTGCAAAAATGGGCAAGTGGAGAAGGCATATGATTCATTAGGTGAAATGGAGGAGAAAGGTTGTCCTCCAAATGTGGTCAGTTTTAATACACTGATTTCTTATTTCTCCCAAATCAATGAGACTGCCAAGGTTGTGGAACTTCTTCAGAAAATGGCCAAGAAAGAACTTTTTCTTGATACAATTACTTGTTCCGTTATCTTAGAGCTCTTAAAGTTGGGGGATGAAACATGCCAAGAGCTTCTGAGCTTGATTCCAATGTTCCCTGCCTAAGTGCTGCAGGTTACATGCCAGTTTGAATGTGTGAAAGATCAGTGGCTTCCAATTATTTCGCAACATCCAGGTGCATTAACTTTGAATTGTTTTTGTATATTTCTTTTGTGGAAACTATTATTGTTAAATAAGACTAGCCACTGGGATTTGTACTTCCTATCACTGTAAATATGATTACTTTATTGGTAGTGAAAGGTTTTGGCATTCTCTGTATTCTCTTTTCTTCCTAGTATTTAGATCAAATAGTTGATCTAATTCATTTCTGTCACAAGTTGAAACTCTCAAACACTGGTATGTCAGCTTCTATGATTAGAGTTGGCTTGGAATGAAACTGGATCTAAGAAATGACTTAATAGGAACTTCTTCAGAGAATGGCAGAAAAAACTTAATAGGAACTTCTTCAGAGAATGGCAGAAAAAACTATCTCCTTGTACAATCACTTTTGCACTGTCTTAGATTTATTCTCAAATCTGAAGGGTCAACCAAGTCAAAAACTTCTGTACGTGCTTCCAACATTTTGCAACCTAGAGCATCCAGGTAGATAACACATTGATATTTGATAGTTTATCCCTTGTTCCTTGGTTTTGTTGTAATTTGGTTCTTAGATGATGATCCTGAATTTTTGGTATAGAGTTCAGGCCCATTAATTGGTCAGCTTTCTCTTTACTGTTTCCTTTACAAAATTCTTTCATATATTTCTAATTTACAGTGGAAATATTCCATGATTGAAGAAGGATCCTTTAGTGTTATCATTTTATTTGAATAGAAATAAGATGTGCTTCCAGTGATTCTATGTTCTGCAATTGTTCAGGTTGTGTATACTGAAAACATTTACATGTTCAGCTTTCAGAAGCAGATTCCTTTTGCAGTGGTTAAAGGTATGTATGAGAATTCTTTCTATTATCTTTACAGAAAACCATTCCAAGATGAGCTGTTGAAATTGTTAATTGAAACATGTAGATATCTTTATCAATACACATATTTAGCAGTTTGAAAACCATTCGAATATGTTATGTGTGACAGTTAACATACTTGATACCACTTTTTTTTCCTTTTTTTTTTTTTTGGATTCATTTTACTAGTGATATTTAGCAGCAAAGAATGAATAACTGCACTTAGCCAGAGTTTAGATCGGCGCTTACTTAATCTCACTTGTTAATATTTAGACACACACACACACACTCTACAATTTTGAGAATAAAATCTAATTAGCAGCTACTGTGCAAAGAATTAATGGCTGTGTTTTACTCAGCACGCATTTGAGCTGCTGCAAATTTTTGACCTCTCTGCAGTAGGTTGCAAAATTTGTTGCAATTTATGAGGTGATTCTCTGATGTGCTTGCATGGGCCTGCTTGGCAAATGATAATGTCTACTGTCTAGCGGACTTGGGAGCATCAGCAGGAAGTTACATATATCCCTATTCTTGCCTAGTTGCCTTAAAAGAATCATGTGTACATGTAGAACTAGTACAAATTTTCCACTGCACGTTTTTCCAAAGTGGAAATAATCTCTTTTCAGTGTTATCATTCAAGGTGATAGAGATCATTTTTTTCCTATTGTATCTTCTATTCTGAGAGCGCCCCCCTTTCCTGTTGTCCTGGAAATTGGAAAAATGTTATGCTATGAAAATATTATGTATATACAATCACGTGACTTGCTTGCTCTCCCTGATTCCATTGATTGCAGAAGTTTGCTTAAGCAAAGGTGCATCAACGTGACATGGAATCCTTGTGTGGTGTTAATAAGTTCCTAGTGATTTAGCTTGGCTTAGTACTGCTGAAACTCAACTAAGAAGATACTATTTGTCTGTGAAATTGATTTTGGAAGACAAATAATCATGTCCAATTGATATCCCAATCCTGTATTTGAAAGATTTTGTGAGTGTTGAATAGGATGTATGGGCCAAGCCTGCTCACTACTAACTGTTTGACTTTTAAGGTCTCTATGGTCCCTAGCCTGAAGAGTTATTACGTTAATACATGATTACTCTTAACCTGAAGGGTATTTGGAAGTTATGGTTTTTGAGACACCCTCGAAAGGGATGCATGGTGGTGACTGCTGTGCAGCTGAGGCACTTACATTTTCACCTTTTAGAGAGTGCGAGATAAAAGATTATATTTAAGGTTTACTTCCTGTGAATCAGGTCAAATTGAAATAAGTGCAGTAAAAAGGTGCATAGGCGTGTTGTTGAGAGTTGGGGTCACATCAAAGAAGCTGTAAAGTTTCATCCCAGGTCATTACCTGACTTTTTGTATGTCTTGACATTTGATGAATGTTATGAGTGATATTGCTGCAATGAACTTTCCCTAAAGTTTCAATAGTGCTCTTATCTTTTCTAGCATATAATGACACGATGAAATCATCTGCTGCTTGCACAAAACCATTGATGCTAGCTATATAGAACCAAGTTCATATAAGATCTTTGTGTAATATTAATCGGTTTCAACCTTGGAGATGGCTGAAATTGCAGGAAGGAGCATGAATTTGATTTGAAGCTAATCTTGAGTTGATCAGGATCTTTTAATTTCTTCATAATTACTCTTCCAGCTACCTGTCTTGAGCTTGATACCAGTACCAGTCTACAACACAGACAGACAGTGAAAGTCCAAATATATCATTATTTCTGACAATCCTGGAAAAGTACAGACAGTATTTGCTAGGAAAAATGAAAGAATAATGCTGTAAGCATGGAATCTTGTAAGTAAAACTATTCCCTTACTAAAATATCCTAAATTCCAATGATTATGCTTTGTCTTCTTACGTAGTTACATTGTTCTCTTTACAGTGAAAAAAGGCATATGTGAAACACTGTTCTTCACAGATTTGGAGATGGAGTTGGGTCTGTAAAAGGGACTGGGACAAAATCTTTAAAAGAATCTAAGGTCTAACCTATCTTGCCTAACTGCCAGTGCATCGTTCCCTTTTCTTCATTTCCCATTCACTCTCAATGGGATTTTTTTTTTTTTTTTTGGGGGGGGGGGGGTGGGGTTAGGGGTTAGGGGTTAGGGGGTTGGATTCAAATCATGTACAAACTTTTCCTGATCATTTCAGTTTTTAAAGTTGTGCTGAAAATGACTAGAAAACATGGGTTTGTAATTATTTGCGCGTCAGATGCCAGTGTTACACATCCAGGGGACCAGGACCCACAATTCATGCCTCAGGGTGCCCACAACAAAGTGACATACCCTTTTGGAGGTTGCGTATCTTGTTCTATTCTTTTGTATGTAATCATGCCTTTTTAATTTATTTCAGAATTGCCCAACACTTGGTGGTCTACATGGCATTCTCTTTGTGAAATGTGCTTAGCATATTATAACTTGGATTGGATTCTATACCTAGATCCTTTTTCTTCTTTTTTTGAAATTCTCTCCACTGTCTAAAAAAAAAATTTATTCCAGGATTTATGTTTATTTTTCCTGTGCCCTTTTTGTTAAATGAGAAAATTTTCATTGCCTTTCTCTCTCATTGCATCAGATATTCATGTGCTTGAGCAGATTTTTATGATCACCCTTCTTATTAGGGGAGACTTATATCTAATCAACTTCCGAATTTTGCATCTTCACTTGGCTGCTTTCTTCCATTTTTTTTTTTTTTTTCAATTTGCAATCAAGTATGTATTTTCAACAAACTTGTTCATGTCAGATTAACTACAGCAGAACTAGTAGTAAGTCTCAAAGATACATTAAATTTTGCAATTTTGATGCACAGCGTAAAACTTCCTGGTACCTGTGGGAATGCAGATTTTTATATTTTAAAGGTTTCACAAGACTACAGCACTATGGGAATTAGGAGACAGCTTACCATTTGACGCATGAAAAAGTTGGAGAACACGGGAAACACAAGTAAGCAGACAATGTCCCTTTGGTGACTCCCCTTCCCCCTTTTTTATTCTCTCTGATCTCCAATGAATCTCCATCTCTAAAGTCCCATCAAATCCTCACAGGAGTACTCTAGTTCACTTTTTCGGCCTATTTTCTGACAAAATTTTTATGCAGACTAACACCAACAGATTAGATACTCTCTTCACGCTATCTTTGCAGGAATGCCATTCTTTTCCTTTCTGATTTACAATTGGATATATTGAATTCGTTTCTGCATATTAGATTATGTATATTTCATTCTGAACAACTGCTTAACCTTTCTTACAGGGTGACACTCAAAACCAAGCAGGCAAGGAGCAACAGTTCTCCCTTCAACGTTTATATGACAGCCACCGAGCAGCTCTGACCCATCTTGAATTATGACATTCACATGCAAGTTTTTGATTGTTTCCTTGAAGACCCACAGAGAATTAATATCTGACCCACCAAGAAGACATAGATTGTCATGGAAAAACAAAGGATGGTATGTTATGATTACTTCTAAAGAGCTCTAAGAGTTTTGAGAATGGTTCAACTAGTTAAGAGATTGAAAATTTCAACTTAAAAATCTTATGTTCAAATTTTAAATTGAATGAAAGGGATTTGAAAATAGATGGGGACTATTTTATCTTGCATAGCTCATTATTAGCTAATTACTTTTGGAGAGAAAAATTAGAGTTTTAAAAAAGCAATCCCAATGTTTCATCATTTCTTTAATCTGTTTTTCTCTGTTCCACACCACACATAAAACTGAGTTTTCATCATGCAAGGACTTACCTATCCTTTCTTTGCAACTATGCAAGAAAAGTCAGACTTTGGGGAAATCCAGTTCTTCAAATTTCCCAAAAAAAAAAAAAAAAAAAAAAAAAAAAAAAAAAAAGAAAAAAGAAGAAGAAGTAAAAAGCATAAACAAACCGCAAAGTTAGTTCTGCAATTACGTATATATTCACATTAACATGGTAATATCTCTGTTTATGCCAACTTGTTAGCTACGCAGAAAATACAAAAACCGCGTGAAGGACGAATTGATTCTACCTTTCTCAAATCTGATCTTCTCCGACCCTTTTTCCAGCGTTGTTGAATTGAAAATCTTGATTCAAACTCGTCTTCTTTGTCTTCTTTGCATCAAATTGCAGAAGCAAAAACATAAAACATATACATGGTTGTTGGATATGTATAGCTGTTGAGACTTGAGACAAGAAAACCACATGTTGGGGGGAATGAAGCCTGGTCCGAAGTCATTCACACGTTGTCTGAAGTCTGAACTTCCCCTATGAATTGGCTTCGAAACAGACAACATTCCCCTCAACTCTTCATGCAAGAAAATCAGATCAAATAGAGAGAAAGGGGGAGAAGAAAAGGGGAAGAGAAGGAATTGGAGTTTTTGGTGTAGCCATGCATTAAAATTTTCTTTTTCTTCATGGGGTCCTCTTATGCTTATATAACACGTAAAAAATGAGTAGGGTTTCTTATATAATTTATGTGGGTCACATGGCATGGAATTGGAGTCCACTTTTCTACACCACTCCCCTAATACCCTTTTTAGTTTTCACACATAGCCAAACGACAGAGATTTCATTCGTCCAATGGAAAAATGGAAAAAGAAATTTTGTAGAAGACACAATTAGGAAATTACTGTTGACATTCTATTGGTTTGTGACTCTCAGGTCAACTCATTGGTCCCTTTTTGGATCTAAATTGTTAGGTTAAAATTTTTCATTGCCTTTAGAGGTGGCAATTTGGAACTTGAAATTCGAACCCGACACCGACACCGACACAAACACGGTGCCAAGTCGGCACAATAGGGTCGGTCTCTTTGATAGTGTATGACTTTTCTTTATTTTTTTTAATTTCTTGAACAGGAGATTTATGAGGATGGGGAATTTTCAAATTATTATTGGTGGGAGTTGAACTTTCAACCAATTTAATCTAATTATTAAGATTTGAAAATGAATCATTGGATCCAAAAACTTGATTTTTGATAGTATATGATTATTTTTTTTTTTGAACGATTTACAATGAGAACGGAGGATTTAAACCCTAACCTTAGAGTTGAGGGGATACACTTTATAATTAAGTATAGAGTCGTTGGGTCACGAGACCTAAGTGCAATAGTATATGGTTATTGATCTTTGAGTTTTTCTAGTAATAAATATATATATTTATTCTATATTTATATTAAAAATATAAAAAATAATTTTTAATTTATTAAATATTTGATTA